GTCCCCCGCACCCCACGCCTCTGCTTACTCCATCTCCTGACCCGCAGCTGATTGTATAGGTGTTTGGAGGTGTCGGCTCTGAAGTGTTAAAAATAAAACCGACATTTCCATACTGGGATTTCTCATTATCGTGCTTACAAATGAGGCCCGCTGCCGCGTTTCAACAATTGGCTAACAAGCTCTAATTTGAGCGTTTCGGCTGGACCTTTGCACAGCAGGAGCCGACTCGGAGCAGATGCCTTCTCACAACTGCCTGTTTGGGGAGCTGGTCACGTTCCCATTCTAGCACAGCCTCCCTGAATAGAGAAGCCCCAGGTAGGGTGGACAAAAGGACGGCCAAGTCTGGAGAGCCTTCTGGTAGACGGCTATTGTGCCGGGCGGGCGGCGGGCCCAGGGAGAGGTTGCGGACGTCTGGCCAGGTACGCACAGCCTCCCCAGCCCGGCAAGAGGGCACTCGCCAGGTGAAGGTCAAGGTGTGGAGAGGAGGGCCTGGATACTCCTTCCACAGCTTCTTGGCCCCTGTGAAATGTTCCCGCCAGAAAGTGCACGGCTCTCCGACTGGTGCTGAACTCAGTATACCTCGCGTGCTGAGTCTGCTTCCTGCCAATACTGTGCTTGTGACGGCAGAAGTCCTGGGCCAGGAACTGGGTTTGGCCAGTTCTCTTAGGGCAGGTTGAGTGGGTCAGCTGTAATAGACTTTTCTTTTTTTTTAAACGGTTAGTTATTTTTGAGAGAGCACAAGCACGGTCCGGGCGGAGGGGGGTTGGGGGGGGTGGTGGGGTGCAGAGGATCCAAAGCAGGCTCTGTGTTGACAGCAGCCAGACCCACTTGGGGCTTGAACTCATGAACCGCGAGATCTCGACCTGAGTGGGCCACTCAACCGACCAAGCCACCCAGGTGCCCGTGTAATGAACCTTTAAAGAGGAAGAGAGAGAGGAAGAGCTCAGTAGAAGCTAGATGATGTTGGTGGCTGGCACTAGGTCCCCACTCCTGTTGTCGTAACTGCCTGGTCCACTGATGGCATCTGGAGAGAAGGATCGAGGAGTGACCAGAAGCAGCAGTAGGGGCCGAATTAAGGAGCCGGGATCCCCCAGCCCCAGCCCAGAGGCGCAATGGAATGTTCAGGGAGTCCTGTTCCTCCCTCCTCCCCAGGCCCCTCCCCAGAAGGTCTGTTTGGCTCTTGCTGAATCCCTCCCACAGAAGTGCTTAGCAAATATTTGCTCAAAGAATGAACGAATCTGGCCGGCGCCCTTCTAGTGGTTTCTTTCACCCCTGCTCACGTGCCCTTAAGGCCCCCAAACTATCGACTCCAGAATCTCCCCTGCTCCCCGTGATTCCCTCCCCTTCTTAACGTTTTTGCTCCCCGTCTGTCCATTTCAGATTAATTATTGGTCTCCAACCAATAGTTAGCCCTTCCCTGATGTGCTCAAGTTAACAAGGTCGAAATGTCTCAAATAAAACATGTACGTGTAGCTTTTATCAGGGATATTTCCAAACAGACAAGGAACTGGAAAGACTGGGATAATGGCCCTCCTCCCCACCGTATGCCCATCGCCCAGTTTCCCACAATTATCAGCATTTTGCCAATCTTGTGACCTTTTTCCTTGGCGGAGGGGTTGGGCAGGAGAGAGTATTTTCATCCTGTAGCTTTCTGAGTGCAGCTACAAGCCTCCCTTACCTTCATTACCACATTAGCTCGTTAGGCCCGCATGGACAGTGTGGCACCTCCTGGCTCGATTATCTTCTGCTTCGAATGTCACAGAGTTTTACTTCTGTGCTGGGAGCTGTTGGAATTACACAGTTCTTACTGCTTTAAGTGCCGTTATTTAGAATCCAATTTGGCTCGCTTTAGACGAGCTATAGCGTCTCTACGTTGTTTCTCTTTTCCCTTTTGTCTTCTGAGGCTAAAAGTCAGAGCCGCCCAACCCCCTCCACCTGCCCCCTCACCCCCATCCCAAAGTGTGTTTCTTTTTCTCCCTTTCTCTTTTCTAACCATACCCTGAAGCATTTCACCAATGACCCTTTGTTATCTAACCACATGTCACCAGCTCAGGAGACAATCTGAAAATTGACAGCAATAAGGAAATAGCCTGGATCCAGGCTACTTCTCGAGGAGCCTCAAGCCTCAAGACAGGCCTACTAGGCTGTGTCGGGGAAATTCTCCGTCTCCTTGCTGTCTGGAGGGACAGGGACAGATGGAGGGACACATTGAGGGGTGGAGAGCTTTCCTGGGGGGCATCTGGTAGGTCTGCCTACCAGGCCTTCCTTACGTGTATGAAATTGACAACGATTCCTTGTGTCAGAAATTTAAAATTTGTGACATACATATTTCTCTTTTATGTCTCAGTCCTGGCATGCTTTGTTTTGACCGTTTTATTCTTAGGCAGAGAACAAAAAGATCAAGTTCGATTGCTTCCTCACTGGCATCCTGAAGGCACACGTGACGATATTTGGGGGTTCCACGTGTGCCCTTCGTGCAGACAGTCAGCTCTCCACGTTCTATGAATTTCTCTCAACACAGCAAGCACATCTGCCAGGAGGGTCCCAGAATTCCTTTTCTCCTTGATTACCCAGCCCAGCTCAGCCAGGGAATATTTCCCAGTCTCATCCTGCCTGTGCCCAGACCTTCCCCACCCTCCCAAATCCCCCTAAACGGGAGCCAGTTGTGAGGGCCAGTGGACAGAGGGGTGTCTCGTGGGCTGAACCGGTCCCCTCGCCCTGGTCCCTTTCACGATCCTCCCTTCCTTTTAGTTCCTCTTCCCCCGTGGTCTCCCCCTCCCACCTGCTGCTTGGAGGCTTCTTGCAGAGACATACCTCCGGGTCCCAGACCTCAGCCCTCCCCCCCCCCCCCACACCCTCCCTTCCCCTGGCCTTCACCTAGTCCCTCGGGTCCTCAGAGCAATGCTCAGCCACGGGGCTGCTTGCGAGAAGTGGCTACTGCATAGGTAATTGACAGAAATCTGTGTGTTGAGTTGCTTCATTCATTCGTCAACGCTGCCCAGATAGCCCGCCTTCCCTTGTCGTAAGAGCTGACATTTTTTGAGGGCTCACTGTGTGCCGGGTACATATTCACTCATTGTCCGTATTACCTTATGTAATCCGCACACCGGCCCTATGAGGCAGGTATTATTGTTACCCTCGTTTGGCAGATGAAGCACAGAGAGGTTCAGTCACTTGCCTAAAGGCACACAGCTGACAATCAGCAGAGAGGAAATTCGAATCTGAGATTCCCACTCAGCACCTGATTGGAGAACACAAAAGTCCTTAAAAGAGAACCCGAAACTA